TTCTCCCAACCCAGCAGCTCGAAAACTTACGTGAGTAGATAAATGGGGACTCTCACTCCAGTGGGAGGAAAAATGCTGGCGGCGCCTTGCAAAAGGAGTTGGGAGCAGTTGCCGGTAAACGCGAAACCACGCTCGCCCGAAAAGGGCACGAAGCAACGGAAACCCCGCCTCCTGCGCTCGCCAGCTGGGCTCTGCTCTAGGAAGGAGGCACTGGCAAACCACTTCCGAAACACCTTGCCTTGAAGACTGCAAGAACTCGTCCAAGCAGTCACTGCAGAGTCGGTAACGACTGAGCGCAGATTTAAAAAAAAGAGAGAGAGAGGATTTGTAGGGTTTAAGATACTAAATAGATGCATCTATTTTGCACTTAAACTTTGCAAAACATTGGGACTAGGAAACCCTATGTGGCTGATGAACCACATGTTCTCCATCCTTGGCTATCACCTCAGCAGTATATACTGTATAAGAAGCAAAAGACTTGTTATATACTATTTATATTTGTATCTGTGGAGTCCTTGGGGTTCTCTGAGCTTGGTTGAGAACCCCAAGGACTCCACAGTCCAACCCTGAGCTACACATATTCTCTTCTATATTTGTATCTATCAGTTTATCTATTAATGCTATGTAGTGCTTTGGATCTCATTTCCAAAAGGCACTTAAGACTAATGGGAGCACAAATGTACCCCCCGTGTACATCAACTTAAAAGTAGCCAGGTGAGACCTTTGCACTCTTACACATGCTGAAGCACCTTTTGGAGATTAAGTCCAAAGTGCTGCACAGCCCTGCTATCTTAATCCCTTTCTTTCTTTCTTTGGCATAAACATAGTAAAGGCAGGGAAGGCAGTGTCTATACCCCATAGGCACAGAGCACCCACCTAGGCTCCTTCTTGCTGTTCACTCTGCATCCCACCTTTTTAACAAACCTGAATAAATGTGGGACCTTAATAGGAGCTGTAGCAAAGAAGTGTGGAGGAAGGAAGGAAGGGAGGGAGGGAGGGAGGGAGGGGAGGAGCAAGTGAGGAAAGAGTTGCCACCAATGCTGCTACAACATCTCCTCCACAGTTGCTCCAGATCAACCTTGCCTCAGCAGCAGGGCCACCACGAGCAGGTGTGCAAGTTGTGCACTGCATAAAAGCGCCATGACATGGGGGGCACCAAACGATGGGCATGGTAGTAGCCCAGTGCTGCATTGCAGGATGCCCGAAAGAAGTCCATCCAGTTACTACTGGTGTCTGCACATGCACTGTAGAAGAAAAGGGAGAATGAAACACCAGGAAGCTGCAGCTGCCACATGATGTGACTTGACACTCTGGCAGCAAAAAACATTTGCATAAAGGCACCGTACAGGTCAGCAGCAGGCCTGCTCAGCAGCATGGTTTCTTCTGAAAGCCTTTGGAACCTCTGACAGGTTCCCCAAAGATGCTGCCCTGGGAGAGAGCTCAACTTACACCCCTAGTTGCTTGCTTGCTAGCTTACTACTTACCTCTGTAACTATTCTTCCCAGAAGAGGGGGGGGGAGGCGGAGGGGGAGGAGGAGGAGGAGGAGGAGAAGAAGAAGGAGCAGCAGCAGCAGCAGCAGCAGCAGCA